CATCAGTTATAACAAATGTACCACCCTAGCGTGGGATGTTGATAATGGGAGAGGTTATGCATGTGTGGGGGTGGGGTACACGGGAAATCTCTACCATCTTCCCCTCAATTTTGCTGTGAACCTAAAACTCCTCCTTTAAAAATATACTCCTTCTTAGCAAAGCAGAAATGGAGACAAAGATGTAGAGGACAAACATATGGACACCAAGGGGGGAAAGAAAGGGGGTGGGATGAATTGGGACATCGGGATTGCGATAAATACACTATTGATACTATGTATAAAATAGATAACTAATGAGAACCCACTGTACAGCTCAGGGAACTCTACTCAATGCTCTGTGGAGACCTAAATGGGAAGGAACTCCAAAAAAGAGGGGATATACGTATACATATAGCTGATTCACTTTGTTGTATGGCAGAAGCTAGCACACATTATAAAGCAACTATACTCCTATATATATATATTTTTTTTGTGTGTGTGGTACATGGGGCTCTCACTGTTGTGGCCCCTCCCGTTGCGGAGCACAAGCTCCGGACGCGCAGGCTCAGCGGCCATGGCTCACAGGCCCAGCCGCTCCGCGGCATGTGGGAGCTTCCCGAACCGGGGCACGAACCCATGTCCCCTGCATCGGCAGGCGGACTCTCAACCACTGCGCCACTAGGGAAGCCCTCCAATAAATATTAATTAAAAAAAAAAAGTTGAAAACCCTAATTAGTTAATACAGTTATGAATAAACTTTTCTGTCCATCTTTTTTTTTTTTTTTTTCGGTACGTGGGCCTCTCACTGTTGTGGCCTCTCCCGTTGCGGACCACAGGCTCCGGACGCGCAGGCTCAGCGGCCATGGCTCACGGGCCTAGCCGCTCTGCGGCCTGTGGGATCTTCCCAGACCGGGACACGAACCCGTGTCCCCTGCATCGGCAGGCGGACTCTCAACCACTGCGCCACCAGGGAAGCCCTAAACTTTTTTGCTTCATGTAAAATGTGTTTATAAAAAAATATTCAAAAGTTATATGTTTTGTCTTAAAAAATAAAAAATAAAAATATAGTCAAGAAAAAGTAAAAGCAAGTTATAAGTTTATATTGACTTACTTTATAGCTAGTCCTCCAGAAATAGGTTTTCCCTCCCTCCCTCTCTATATATTGGCTCCCTATGCCCACTATTCATGTTTCTTCATCATTCCGTTGTCATCTCAGCACATAAAGACCTTTCCAGCTTGGTTACCAATAGTTTCTTGGTATCACAATTCCAAATTCAAGAAGAAACAATGTGAATGGTTTAGCCTGCATCAGATATTCAGCTCTGATTCAAATACATGGTGCTACTTTGGCTGGAGAAGGTATGTGGGATGAGAGCATATTAGGATCATCTGCTCCTTAGTCCAACCCCTTACCCACTGCCCACTGGTCCTTAGAATGATGTGCCTACAACGTTGGCAGGTTTTTAAAGAAAAGGTTGTGGGCAAGGAGGTCAGGTAACCATCTTAACTGTTCAAACTGAAAAGGAAAGGCAAACTTTTCTGGTTTTAATTTCCCAATATTTCCTTAATTTAGAATTGAATTAATGTTGGGACTTCCCTGACAATCCAGTGGTTAAGACTCCGTACTTCCACTGCAGGGGGTGCGGGTTCGACCCCTGGTCAGGGAACTAAGATCCCGCATGCTGTGTGGCGTGGCCAAAACAAACAAACAAACAACAACAAAAAATAGAGAGAGAGAGAGAGAGAGAGAGAATTGAATTACTGTAGAAGTGAACACTCATGGACAAATGAGGCTAATTCTCTGTTATAAAGTTAATTCTTAAATTACACTTAACATATATCATTCTTATAATAATAAAAAAAATCCTGCACAGGAAATGAAATGCAAAAAAACCCCAAAAACAAACAGACAAAAAAAAGCTTTTTTTTTAAAGTTACTAAATCTTTCAGTGCTTCAGTTTCTTCACCTTAATATAGGGATAATAATAAAATGGCTGTAAAGGTGAAGTGACAAATATGTATAAAGCCTTTGGAGTTCTGTGAATATTAGTAAATACTGCTCTAAATTTTTTCCCATATGACATGTCTTCTGAGCCTACAATTTCAATACTTATTTTTCCATAGTTGTGAAATTTACAAACTATGTGCTATCACTAAAATCCCTCTACTAACCTACACAGAATTATATTGTCATCTTTTAATTTTTAACTTTTTCAGCTTAATAAGATACAATGTGTTAAAACTGTTACACTCCCTGAACACACACAGTTTCAGACTGTAAGGATACTTAATTACTGTTCTGCACCTAGAATTGCAGATACAGAGACAAAGAAGATGGGAGCGCTCAGTCTAGTGCTATTTTGTTTAGAACTAAACTGCACTGAGGAAGAAGCACTCTACTGGGGGAAGTCTAGGAAAGTATGTGAAACCCACTGGATAAAATTTTAAGGAGAAATAAAAAAGGTCAATGGCTAAATATGCATAAACATGACAGAGGATAGATTTGGAGAATTGTGGTAGTATGACAGAACATCACAGGTTGGAAAAAAATGGTGGAAAATTATGAAGATGATTCTTTTTTTTTTTTTTTTTTTTTTTTTGCGGTACGTGGGCCTCTCACTGCTGTGGCCTCTCCCGTTGCAGAGCACAGGCTCCGGACGCGCAGGCTCAGCGGATGTGGCTCAGGGGCCTAGCTGCTCCGCGGCATGTGGGATCTTCCTGGACCGGGGCACGAACCCGTGTCCCCTGCATCGGCAGGCGGACTCTCAACCAACGTGCCACCAGGGAAGCCCCCATGAAGATGATTCTTAAAAAGAGAGGGTGGAACCAGATTGAGAAGGGCTTTGTTAAAAAAAAAAAAAAAAAAAAAAAGGAAAAGCTAAAAAATTTGAAATATATATGGTAGACAATGGGAAGCCATCAGAGATTTTTATAGAGAAATATTTGGAAGGAGAGATTGCAGATAGAGGCAGGAAGCATTACAATCAATCAATCAGTAAGAGTTATAAATTTTCTAACTAAATCTAGTTTTTGACCCCAGTTCAAACATTTTACTAGCTGTGTGAGAACAAATTTACAGAACCCCTCTTAGCCTCAGTTTTCTTATGTGAAAATTCCAGTACATATCTCAGTGTTATTTGTGAAGATTAATGAGATAATGTATGTAAATACTGCACAATGCTTACTCAATATAATAGGAGATACATGTATCATTTACTATGTGTCACACACTATTCTAAGATTTTAATAAGTACTGATTCATTTGATTCTCCCAACAGCCCTACAAGATAGGTATTGTTATTATCTCCACTATAGTTGAGGGAATCTGAAGCATTGAAAGGTTAAGCAGCTTCCTTAGGGTCAGGCAACTACCAAGTCATGGAGATGAAATTCAAATGCAAGCAATCTGGGTCCAGTTTCTTGCCCTTAACCAACATATTACAATGCCTCTCTAGGAAAGATCAAGTCAGTGTTTTAAAAATTCTGGTCAAGTTTTCTAACCTTCAAGTTAAATTTACAGAACTCCATCCTCCAGACCTATGGGATCAGAATCTCTGAGACCGGAAATACAGGAATCAGCACTTGACAAACCCTACAAGGTAATGTGTGCACAATAAAAGTTGAAACTCACTGACTTAGGTAGATAGAGCAAAAATCCAAAGAAAAGAGTCCAGGTAAGGAAAAGGAACAGATTAAAATGTAGAGACTAACTTTTTTTGGAAATTACCATTTGCTGGTAGCTTATATGAAATAAACAGAACCTTAAGGTTTAAATAAGCAAAGCTTAACAAAGTATAGCTTATATCTTTACTGCAGTCCTACACAAAATGTTTACATTTTTAACGATAACTACTGAATATTTAAATTTATTTTTCCTGGCTAATAACGAAACAAAAGTTCATTACCAGGGATGGGAGAGTAGGAGTAGCCAGCATGGATGAAGGAATCTTTATTCTGAATATTATTAAGTCCTACTTTTAAAAAGAAATTTATACATTTATATGGTAAGATACCCTGGTGTTAAAATCTTAAAAGAAGCATAAAATATTTGATCCTATAAAGCAACAAAATTACTCTGCAAGTTTTCAATAAGGCAAGATATAAAATTTCTACACACTTAAATGCTCACTTATAGTTTACATGTAGGGTACACATTTAAATTATTCCAGAACGCATGACTTTGTTAGAAGGTTAGAGTTTGATATCTGAGGTAGTTAGTCATTAAAAACAAAACAAAAAACCGAAACAGAGAAAACCCGATGCTGGAAACATTAGTAGAGTACCTTCAAAATGACTCCCCAATAACCCAGTTCAACAATGAATGAAGGGGGTGAAAAGGCAGGTCTGTGTAACTAAAACTCATCCCTATTGTTAGCAAACTAAGACCCCTGTTAATCACCGCTGTTACAACATGTCCAGTTTAAATGAGCAAGAGTCTCGGATTTTTGCGTTACCTGAAAAATGACAACCGTGAAAGAAAAATACCCGGGTTTTGAACACAAAGGATACTCAGATTTCAGTTTAAATCCCCACCAGGCATTTCAAAGACTGTCAATTCCCTGCGGTCCAGAGTAATAAAGACTACTCCTCTTAGGAGGAACTCGGATCCCTACAGAGCATCTCTTCATTCTAAACCTGCCCCCAACCTTCCATCTTTAATAAAGAAAGATTCTTTTGCTTACGGTAAAGGTTTCTCAATAACTACTTTTGAAGCTTCAGCGTTCGAAACGAATTAGCGTAAATACTGAACTGCGATTACCAGAAAGTCAGAGATTAAACAAGGTTTAATCTCGGGGGCGGTCTGGCTTCTGAATCGTCAGTACTCTATAGGGTTGGCATGTATGCACCAACCGTCTGCCCCGACTTCTCAAAGTCCCCACGTCCGGTCCCCCCACCCGACACCCTCAAAGGCACTCCGAGGCCCCCGCTATACGGTGCCGCCTCCCGACCCCCTGTGCCATCCGACAATTCCGCTTCTCCCCCTGGAATACTCAGTTCCTTCCCGTCCGCCATCCACTCACCGAGGCGCGCTGGGCAGAAGTTCCAGAGCGGCTGTATCACTTTTCCCTTCTCGCGCTGCGCCACACGCCATCCGGGAACGGCCCCATCCAACGGCCCACACAATTCAAATTCGTCCACTTCCGCCTGCAACCCGGAAGGAGGGCTCAGCTCCGCCCCCTGAAAGGCGGGGCCCGCGGCGACGCGGGAGTTGGGGAAGGGAGAGGCACCCCCGCGCTTTTATTCCGCGGGGTCTCCTCTCTGCTCGGTCTTTTTCCGTTATGTTTCTTTTGTCTCTCTCCCTACTTAGGTCCAGAGAGAAGTGCGGGAGCGGGGTTGGTGTTGCTGCTGGGTGGCTCGTGAGAGGATCCTCTTGTTTCTTAAATGGATCGAGACATGCTGAATTTTCTTCACTTCCAGGAAAGGAGAAAATAAAAGCACTAACCGAGCCCGGACGTTTTTACCCCTCCGCCGTCGCCTAAACACGAGCTACAGCCGGAAGGAAGAAACGAAGCCTCCGCATACTTAGTACGGGGTTTCTTTGGGTCTCCAGAGACCTGTCGCGGCACAGTCAGGACTTTTAACCTCTTTCCTTCCCCCGTTTGAGGGAAACAAAAAGCCAAGTGCGCCAATCACCTTATTTCAGCAACAGATTGAAAATGGAGTGGTCGGAAAAGTTCCTGGTCCCAAATAACATTTTTGAGGATAAGTGTTAGAAAGCGACAAATTTTTTTCCCCCTCTGACAGACCATTTTACAAGATTACTATGTGGTTGTCCTATGAGATTCTTGGGACAACAGTGTCATTTTCCTTTGCCAAGGACCACACAATGTATCCTTGATCCGAAAAGTCTACAGAAAGGAAAGGAAGGACAACATGTTGTTAGGCAAAAACAAACGAACAAAAAAAACCTCTCTAACCCTGATCTTGACGTTACCACCAGATCATCCTCACATCTAAAAGCATTGATTGACCTAAACTGATCAGTTCAAACCAAGCCATAACACAACATCTTCAGATTCTATCAAACTGAAATTTGAAAGATTCACTAGATTTCTGGGAATTTATTTTATAGATAATCTGACATAAGGGTGTGTAAAGCTATTAAGTGATGTACTGTTTTTAACAGTGGAAAGTAGAAAATAACCTACGTGTTTACCAATAAGGAAATGATTAAATACTGTAAGTTATGATAATTTAGTAGCTGATATACTGACACTGCAGGCACTAAAAATAATGATGTAGATCAGTAGGTACTCAATTGAAAATCAGCTTCAGAAAGACTATACATATATATATATATATATATATAGCATCCTTTTAAAGTATGTGTATGTGTATGGCATACAAAATTTGGATACATAAACTGTAAAATGTTACCTGTGGGAGTCAGATTGGTGAATGGGGATGGGAAGAAACTTTTGCTTTATAACCAGCTGAATTTTTAAAATAAGCATGTTTTACTCTTGCAATTTTAATTGCTTTTAAAAGATTGCTAGAAATTGAGTATATTCTAGATGAAGAATCAGGTTTAATAAATGTGGAAATGTATGTTTGAATAATCTGTGTCCATTCATTTATTCATCAATTCATTCAGCAGTTATATAGTAATGGTTTGACCACACATTTTGTCATTCATAATATGCTGTATTATTTAATGTCCCACATTTTTAATACTGCCCCATTAAATATATTGCTGTTTCAAGTTCCTTGAAGGCAGAAACTATGTCATATATTTTCCTATATTTTTCATAATTCTTGGCACCTTCCCACCATTAAGTTCCATCCTTCACAGGAATGAAATTCTCAAGTTAATCTGCAAGCAAAAGTTAAATGTGGGCTTCCTTGGTGGCGCAGTGGTTGAGAGTCCGTCTGCCGATACAGGGGACACGGCTTCGTGCCCCGGTCCAGGAGGATCCCACATGCCGCCGAGCGGCTGGGCCCGTGAGCCGTGGCCGCTGAGCCTGCGCATCCGGAGCCTGTGCTCCGCAACGGGAGAGGCCACAACAGTGAGAGGCCCGCGTACTGCAAAAACAAAACAAAACAAAAAAAAGTTAAATGTACTCAGGGAATTCCCTGGTGGTCCAGACTGGGAGCTTTCACTGCCATGGCCAGGGTTCAATCCCTGGTCGGGGAACTAACATCCTGCTAGCTGCACAGTGCAGCCAAAAAAAAAAAAAAGTTAAATGTACTCAAATTGCCCTTGAAAAACTCCCCCAAACAATCATAAAAATATGTATAGTATATATAGATAGAATAGATAGATACATGATTTTTTTTAAAATTTTTATTTATTTTATTTTTGGCTGTGTTGGGTCTTTGTTGCTGCGCACGGGCTTTCCCCTGGTTGCGGCAAGCGGAGGCTACTCTTCATTGTGGTGCGCGGGCTTCTCATGCGGTGGCTTCTCTTGTTGTGGAGCACGGGCTCTAGGCGCGCTGGCTTCAGTAGTTGTGACACGTGGGCTCAGAAATTGTGGCTCGCGGGGTCTAGAGCACAGACTCAGTAGTTGTGGCACACGGGCTTCGTTGCTCCACGGCATGTGGGATCTTCCCTGCCCAGGGCTCGAACCCATGTGCCCTGCCTTGGCAGGCGGATTCTTAACCACTGCGCCACCAGGGAAGCCCTAGGTATATGATTTTTAAAATATGACTATATAAGCAGGTTTTGTTTTGGTTTTTTTTTAATGTTTGTCCTCTTTTTTTTTTTAGTCAGTCCTTCTTTAGGACCCTTAATGAATTCTTTAGTTTCTTCCACCAAAATGTTGACAAAGTTATCATCACCCAGCAGCCCTGCCATCAATCAGTCTAATGAGATTAATTTCTCCTCAGCAATAGAGAGCGCCTTAAAGTCATTGACATATTTTTCTCGTAGGACTGGTCAGGCTTAATGTATAAATTGCCTAGGGCTAGTGTTTATTGAATGGAATATCAAGTTATTTGCATATTTAAACTGTTATTCCCTTTTTTACTGAGAATGAGTGCAGGTGAATTTGAATACAATCAGTATTCAAGTAATGTGACAGTATTTTATGAACAAAGAAGATCTGCAATAAATACCCACTGACTATTTCAAGGAGCCTGAGTAAATCCAGACTTAAGAACTTTTAAGATCTTAAGATCCCACATGCCACGAAGCGGCTGGGCCCGTGAGCCATGGCCACTGAGCCTGCGCGTCCGGAAAAAAATAATAAATAAATAAATAAATAAAATAAAATAAAATAAAAGGGAGCATTCAAAAAGTCTAATTAGCAGCCTAGTCAGGTTCTCATGATACTTGACCTAGAAATGGAATGTGGGTGTGTGTTGGGAGGGGGGAGGGGGCCAGGGAGGGGGCTGTTGGTAGATGTTGAGGAAGTGAGCAAACATGTAAAAACACTTTTATGTTTCCCACTTTTGCTTTCACACATCTTTCTTCAATATCTTTTAATATATCATTATAGACTTAAGTCTAATGTCAATATACTGCCTTACAAAAAAGTACTTCTTTTGGAGGCTATGCAAGGGGAGCAACAAATAGCTTCCCTACTCCCTCCTACTCCTGTCCCTTACATGCCAGTTTTTCTCTGTTCCACTTACTAGTCTACTATGTGCAATGGCGCTAAAACATCTAAAGGACAGGGGTAAAAACAATAGGTAGGCAAGGTGACTGTTTCTCCTTTCAGGAACTCTAGAATAGAGTCCATCTAGTCTCTCCTCAGCAATTCTTTAAACCATCACTGCCCAATACGAGTGTTAGCCACATATATAGTTTGCAATTTTCTAGTAGTCATATTTAAAAAAATTGAAAGAAATAGGTGAAGTTAATTGAAGTAATATATTTTATTTAACCCAATATGTCTATAATGTTATCATTTTAACATGCAATCAAATAGATTATTGAGACATTTTACATTTTTTTGTACTAAGTCTTGAAATTGGTATATATTTTACATTTATAGCCCATCTCAATTTGTACTAGCCGCATTTCAAGTGTTCATTAGCCACACATGGGTAATGGCTACCATACTGGTCAGCACAGTTTAAAATATGTCACAATTTTTCCCTTCTAAGAATACAGGCTACCATGGGACTCTGTTCCCAAAATTCTATTTCACCAACTTCTAACAAACATTTGAAAGCATGAAATAGAAGTAATTATCTTTCCCCCAACTTTAATTATTCCTACTCTACCATGATCTTGTCACTGCTTCCATATTTACCTCAGATTTGTTTTTTTCACTTCCTCCTCTAATGAATTTTTTTCTTACCCTCTCTATTCTCACTATCCTTGTCTATTCCTTAAGCTTTCTTCTCTATTTCTCAGCAAAGTATTTGAATACTTTGGAATATATTTAACATCTATAATTATGGCATTAGTGCTACAGAGTTTTCATCCCACGGTTGCAAAACAAATTAGTCGATTTAACTGATCACCTCGTGAACAGGTCATAATGAGAATACTGTACAAAATAAGCATATGACCATTATTAGTGTATGGCTCCATGATCAAGAAGTATTTGTCAAGCATATTCTATGCTATCAGCAGTGTTAATAAATTTCTGAATGGAGTTTTCACAGTGTATACTAAAATGTTCCTTATATTAGTTTGCCTGACCAGTATTTTTACATCAATTTTGAACTTGAATCAAAATAGATTTTAGGGGGCTTCCCTGGTGGCGCAGTGGTTGAGGGTCCGCCTGCCAATGCAGGGATGTGGGTTCGTGTCCCGGGCTGGGAGGATGCCGCATGTCGTGGAGCGGCTGGGCCTGTGAGCCATGGCTGCTGGGCTTGCGCGTCCAGAGCCTGTGCTCCACGACGGGAGAGGCCACAGCAGCGAGAGGCCTGCATACCGAAAAAAAAAAAAAAAAAAAAGATTTTAGGAAACGTGGGTTGTTGTTTGCTACCAAACAGAATTCTTTTTCTCAATGTCCCATTCACATGAATGTTTTGATCTAAATTTTTAATCTAACCCTGGTTCAGTGTCTTTTAAATCAAACACACCACCTCCTGGCAGCAGGAAGCACCACCCAAAACATCAATTTCAGGTCTCTTGTTTCAGGGTTGTTTGGATAATAAGCAGGTTTATTAACAGCAGTGTTTGGAATGATACCGTTCCTGCTGGGTAACTACATGATTTTTA